GTGATCATGTATTGTGTTACATTATATTTCTGGAAAATTTAAGGGGTAGTTATATAATAATTTTGGACGATCTCAGGTGGTCGGATACTTATGACCACTACTGTAAGTGCGAGAAAGGAAAGAAGAAGGAAAAGGCGCAATTCTTTTTTAATAAATACAAAATGGCAAGTAGAATTCTTTTGTTAAAAGATAAATGATTTAGTGGCGTGACAAAAATCTTCAAGTTTCTTTGTCATTCAGATCTTTAAGTCAAGCCACAAAACTAGTGTTTAGGCACAGGTGATCTTTTAAGTTTGCCTGATGTTTCAAGTCTTTAAGTCGAGCAAATGCTAGACTTATCGTGATTCAGGCAATCTTTAAGTTTGGCTGTGTTTAGATGGGATGAGAAATTAGATTGAATCATGGTTCAAGTTAAGAACTTGCTAATTACTTAAATATTATATTGCTAGGATCTTAAACCTGATCGCGAGTTGGCAAGAAGGTGGGAGAACGAGCGTTCACATAAGCAAGTCTATCTCTATCAGCCAACAATAAATAGAACTGTAAGTGGGATAATTAACGGTATAAATGGGACAATAAACGGAGGAGCTTTCGATGTAAAACTTATGACAAAGAGAAATAATCAGATATAGATGATCATTTTTTAGCTAGGAAGTTGTGGAATTAATTATTTTGTATTCAACATTTTAGAACGAACAGACCAAGCAAGAAAAACAGACAAAAATAGAGGATTAACCTTCAAGTACACCACCACGTCAAATTAAACAGTCAGGTGTTTCAAGAGCTTTTATTCATATCCAGAAGGTAATCATATTCAATGTCTATATAAGCCTTTTTTGTCATTAAAGGTATTGAGTTAATTTCTTTTAGGGAAATACGTTACCTGATGGTACAAAAATTGAAAAGGTGACTCCCCTTGATTTAGTACAGTCAGATGATGATGACCACCTCTCTCAAGAAAATAATGATGAAGATGAAGGTATTCCTGATCTGAAAGATAAAGTTATCAACAATTCAAAAAAATGGAATTTGCCTTCAGAGCTACATGTAGGCGAAATTTTCGATAAAAGAGTATCTACCAACGCAGAAAAAGCCAAGAATAAGAAAAAATTTACCATATGTGAAAAAGCCATATTAAGATATGGTGCATCAAATATAATCAATCTATCTATCATGAGTGAATGGTTTTCCGCTAAAGATATAAAATTCATGGCAAAAGATTATGCTGATCTGTTAAAGGTTCCTTAGTTGCTGGCAGAAGAAAATTCATTTATATCGAAAGTTGAAGTGTATGTATCTTGTCTGGAATTTATTTTATATAAAGGCGTATTTATTCATTATTTTTCTACATATGATACTTAAGGAAGATGTGAACGGAGCATACAAGCTTTGCATTGAAAATCATGTTAATTCTGAAGAAAATGGCTATATGTATAAAATAAGCAAGATATATGCCGAGTTGTAAGTAAATTATCTCATTGTCGAATTTATTTTTATCTTTGTGGTTCTAATTTTATTATTTGATATGTACAGTATTTATAGAAATAAGAACAAAGTCGATATCCTAGATTATGCAGGAGATACGCACACAGAACTGTATGTCGTTATGAAGGCTTTCAAGTATATTATTGAAGGACTGAACCCTGGTTTTGGAATACATCAAAAATGGTTAGTAAAATACATGGGATATTTGTTAACTTCGTGATCAAATTATTTATTATACTCACAAGCATATTCATGGTTTAAGGGATGAATCCTTCTGCTCACTAAGTAAGAGTAATGATTACAACAAGGGTCGAAAATGTGACTTGCGCTTTCTATTAATATCTGGAGTAGATATAGGGGAATAGGAATTTGCATCAGAAATAATCCCTCATAAGGCTGTTGGTGACCGTTATAGGTCTGCTAGGGTTAATCAATCTATTTTGAATGACTTGTTAAATCTCAACCTCACTGATGAGCAGGCTAAAAATATTAAAGTGCCCTTTATGCAAGTAGGTGGCATAAGTGGCCAAATATTAATCGAAGATTTGGTTGAGGGATTCTATGTAGTATTTCCTGAACTGAAGTTTGAGCTTCCAACAAGGCTTCAGCATATTAAAAAGCTCAAATCTGCTGTCAATATTATAAATTTTATTATAGTAAGCTTGATCCCATTTATTGTCAAAAAAGTTTTACATATCTAATCCATGTTAATATTTTGCATAGGATATGTATGAGTAAACAAATGAAATAGTAGAGACTCAAGAAAACACACGTAATGGATTCAATGATATTTTTAATGATGATTTCGACATCAAACCTACTCATTATAAGGCCAAATATATACATAAATTATGGTGATCCCCAAAGGGTAAAAAATCATAACAGGAAATTCTTTTTTTTTGCTATATGAAAATCTTATTTAGCTTATTAAGTTTAAGCAATAACCAAAGATCATCTTATTGAAAATAATAAAAATTTCGCAGGTGTTATCTTTTTAGCAATTCTATATAATCTTTCATGCACTTTTGTTTCGTGTATTAAACTATTTACTGTACATCACAAAAAACCTAATGAGAAGAACGAAATAGGAACTTCAATTTCCCCCATATATTTGCAAAGAAAAATCACATGACCTTGATCATTCCTTGAGGGAACGGTTTTTTACAAACTAAATTTATACTGCTAAGACTGTTATCTGATCACAAACTATGTGAGTGGGGGAATTTTTCAATAATTTTTTGCATTAGATGTGATAATCTAATCCTGAGATCTGTGACTGAAGGAACTATAGAAAGTTCAATAATGTACTGCGCCATATGATTAATCTTTTTTCTGTGCAATTTTGACGAGCCCGGACACAGTGCAATTAGAAAAAATAGTATTTTTTGCACGTGTATTTCAACATATATTAATAAAACATTTCGGGTTTTATTTTAAAGTGTGTTCTGCATGTGTCAATGATTACTGCTTTTCAGTGTTGGCAAATAACCTTGAAGTGACCTTAAAATAACCTAATCATGTGATGATTTTACTATGAAATCTATCACGT